TCTTCTTCTTCTTCTTCTTCTTCTTCTTCTTCTTCTTCTTCTTCTTCTTCTTCTTCTTCTTCTTCTTCTTCATCATAATTGCTTTTTTATTTTTTGTCAGTCATGGGACTTGAACTTGGGGCCTAGGGGTTGTTCCTGAGCTTTATCCACTCAAGGCTAACACTCTACCACTTTAAGCCACAGTTCCACTTCTGATTTTTGGGTGGTTCATTGGAGATAAGAGTGTCATGGACTTTCCAGTTCAGGCAGGCTTTGATTCATGATCATCAGATCTCAGCCTCCTGAGTAGCTAGGATTACAGTCATGAGCTACCAGCGGCCAGCTAATTGGCTTGCTTCTTAAGATTAGTCTTTACTCATTGCTTGTTTTTATCTGTCCATTTCCACACTTGTTTTGCCAGCTCCACTGACTTTCTGGACAAATCCTAGTCCCTAGCTGGTCACAAGCACCAGGTCTGCTATGGAGTTGAGCTCTCTGAGGACGCGTCAGTGCAGGTCAAGGATACAAATTTTGGAATCAGAAGCCAGGGCTGTGTGATCCTGGACAAGTTAGCAAATCCTCTGAGCCTTAGTTAACCCAACTAAACAGAAAAATAGTACTTAACTCATTGCTTACTCATTGCCTTGCAAGTGGGTGAGGCAAGAGATGTAGCTCTTCCTCAGGCTCAAGCTTTTAGTCATCTGACCTCTAATCTCTTCTGTACCTGGCTGTCAAACTTTTACTTCCTTTAGGTAGAACAAAGGTTCTATGTTGGCCATTTCCCCCTCTATTATATGAATTAGAATGGAAAAAATCTCTCATTCCTTATAATCAAGGGACAGCAAGCTCCATACTTATCATCATGTTTTAATGAGAGAAGAGTCAGGTCAAGTGAGATTCACTGAGAATGTGAAAACGCATTAGGCTGCGTTTTAACATACTTTTCTCCTAGAGTAATCATTATTATTAGGGGGTTCATCTTGTGCTGAGGCTCAAGGGCTAAAACATCTTGACCTCTTTCCTCTCTTTCCTCTCCTTCCTTCCTTCCTTCCTTCCTCCCTTCTTTCTTTCTTCCCTTCCTTCCTTCCTTCCTTCTTCCTTCCTTCCTTCCTTCCTTCCTTCCTTCCTTCCTTCCTTCCTTCCTTCTTCCTTCCTTCCTTCCTTCCTTCCTTCTTCCTTCCTTCTTTCCTTTTTCCTTTGCTTCCTATTAGTAATATAAACTGCTCTAAGAACAGGTGAGCATATTGTGGATTTTAAAAGCAACATGTGTCAACAAAATATCCCTGTGTTCTTGGAGCTCTCTCTGGATGGTTGCCAGGGGAAGTGAAGTAGTATTTACTGACAGCCCAAATGTGGTTTGGGCCTCCAACCTCTGACCTCTTCCAATTTGTTTTGCAATAAAAGCCAGAGTGCACAGCAAAAGTTCAGAATTGAAAGACTGAGACTGACTCGATTCTAAAATAAAATTAAAAAATTAACCACGGATGAAAATATTCCTTAGAAAAACAAAATCAACCTTAAGAGTTGCAACTACCAGAGTATTTGGTTTGCTTTTGATTTTTTTACTTTCTCTTTAAGCATAGCCATATTGAAGTTGAAGACATTCTGTCATTTCATTACAGTTACCATGATGAGTGTACTCAGGCAGAAAGAAAAGACTGTCCACTTAGACAATGCCGGTGTGTGTTCATCCACACTTAGGTGGTCCTAAGGCAGTCTGAGAGTTGCCTGAATCCATTATTCCTGTCACTGTGGCCAGTTTGCCAGGGTTCTTTTTTTTTTTTTGTTTCCCTCCTCAAAAAGAGACACATGTTTCTACCTTAGCCCATGAGCCAATGGTATTATAGATTCAGTAAAACTCGAAAATAATATGAATCCTTCACCAATTTACATAAATTATTAACATTTAAGTTTGCCAAATTGGAAGTCGGAAGTTTGCTATCAATCTATTAAGATTTTTTTCTCCAGCCATTAATTATAAGACCAATGTGTTTTCTTAAAATTCTCCTTCCCACTGATTATAGAACAATCATCAAAAACAGCAAGAGCAAAAATCCTAGATGAGCTATAACACAGAAAGTCCATTTCAATTCAGAGAAAAATACCTTGCTTAAATAGGAGTAAACATTCGGTAGAAGCATCTGAAATGGCGTTTGGCTGAGATTGGGTTTGAGATTATAAATATACTGCATCACAAAATGGTAAGAGAACTTCTGGCATGATCCTTGGCCAGATTATACAGAGAAACTTAAGCATATAGCAAAGTCCAAAAATATTTCAATAAATGCCAGCTTTAGAAGCCAGGCTTTCCACTCACCTGTCCCTTTGAGAAAGGAGCTCCAATAATCCCTACGGATTTTGACTTCGAACTCATGCTGCTCAGATCCCTCTCTCTGCTGCAATATGCAGGCTATTCAGTTTTCCAGCTGGTTACCACCTGCTGCAAGCCTACTACACTGAGGGCACATCTTTCTCCTCACTTATAATTGGGTTGGCTTTGTTTATCTTTATTTTAATGAGGGTGGCTGGCCACACCTACTGAACGGAAGAATGACAGAGTCAACAGAAAATCTTGCAAATGCTCCGTATGTGGAATGAGTCGGATTCCTCTGAGCCCAGGTCTGTGGTTATGTGAGCATTATTCACGTTCATAGCTCACACCCTTTTCGTTTTATTCTTAAAGCCAGGTGGGATGAATGACATTAATCTTTTCTCAGTGACACATGATTTCATCAGCACATTAGGTGCAATGGCTCCATCTATGCAGATTACCTTCCCCACTGCTCTGGCTGTAAAGAGGAGTCGCAGAGAAGGCCGGGACTGTCATCACTGCCTCCGGCTTTCCTTCCAGTTCTAACATCCTGAGTGAAGGCAGAGTTTATCAGGATAAATGGCTAACCCATGACAGGCATTTTGTATACCACTAGGGTATATGCTTTCAGAGAAAGTGCATGCCTTCCCTTTGAATTATTATTATTATTATTATTGGTCGGTCGTGGGGCTTGAACTCTGGGCCTGAACTGTCCCTTAGCTCTTCAGCTCAAGGCTAGCGCTCTACCACTTGAGTTACAGCACCACTTCTGGTTTTCTGGTGGTTTATTGGAGAAAAGAGTTTTACAGACTTTTCTACCCGGGCTGGCTTTGAGCTATGATCCTCAGATCTCAGTCTCCTGAGTAGCTAGGATTACAGGCGTGAGCCCCCGGCACCCAGCCCCTTTTAATTATTAAAAGAGGGGAAAGCAGTTACTCAATTGATAACCCAAAAGTATGACATTTTTTCAGATGTGATATGCAGAAAAATAACACTTTTTGAAATCATAATATTGAAAGTATATAGAGGTGATAATTCCTAATAATGAGGTCTTTCTTTTATCAAAACTTATTTTATGTGTAGTAGGTCTCCACTATAAATAGATCATATTTGCTTATTCACTCCATTAGCACTGAGGTTTTATCATTTGTCTCGTGCTCTTCTTTTTTGTATGAATTCAGTTAATCTCTACACTAATTTCATGCTAAATCTCATGACTGGACCTTTATTGTGATGAAAAAACTGAAGAGGTTGTGGAGAGAGACTCCATTCTAGGCTTTCTAGATGGACCTAATCCCTAAGCTTGCAATCTTCTCATCAGAAAAGAATCAGCTGTTAACTCCTTGTGTGTTCCTGAGAAGTTGTCTCGTTGCAAAGGAATGAATTTAGATGAAGAGAGGCACCTAAGGATTCTCCCTACTTCAAAACTTACATGGTTGTAATCTACAAGGGAATGCACTTAGCAGAAACAAAGTCCTTTGCTTTTTTTCTTTTTTTTTTTTTTTGGTCAGTTGTGGGGCTTGAACTCTGGGCTTGGACACTGTCCCTGAACGCCTCAGTTCAAGGTGACCACTCTACCACTTGAGCTACAATGCCACTTCCGGTTTTCTAGTGGTTAGTTAGAGATAAGAGTCTCATGGACTTGCCTACCTCTGGCTTTGAATCAGGATCCTCAGATCTCAGCATCCTGAGTAGCTAGGATTACAGGAGTGAGCCACCAGCGCCTGGCTAAGAGCTCCTTTTGCTTTTTGAGAGAGAAAATATGGTGGGTCATTTAAATACCATAAGGCAGAGATTCTATCTGCTGAAGCTTCAGTGCTGGTAAGGGCTAGGCACTGAAAACCATGAGGATATGAGTCCATGAGGAAAGCAAGGTCTTTCCAGACCATTGAGATAGAATTGTTTCCCAAATAAGTTTCCTACCTCTGCTTATGCTTTTGCTTATATAATCTAAATGTATGGCATTCTCTGTTTGTTGTTTGAAGCAAGGTCTTCTTAGTTAGTATACTGAACTAGCTTTGAACCTGGGACCTTCCCGCTTCAACCTCTCAAGTGCTCCAAAAGTCTTCATCTTAAAATAATTAAATGATTTCCTTCTTAGGCCTTCTACTTTGAGAGTTTTGAGTTCTGCCTACTCCTCAAATCTCAAGTATCTACTTCTTTGTTTTCTTCTATTTGAGTTAGTTTATCTCACAATGAAACCCCTTTGTACAGTTAAGATCCACTCGTAATTTTTTAAGAAAATTCATTGCTAGAAATTTTTCTTTGAAGAACTTGAATATCTGTCTAAGCTGAGAATCCCTTCCTGTCATTTGACCCTGTGGTCAACAACCCTTTGATCCAAATAAAGCATACTGTCTTGACTGTCACGTCTCTACTGCTGCAGTCTCTATTGTTAAGGATGACTGTCCTGAAATATTTCAACACCTTCCTGTATTACATGATTCATAAACCTAGTCATTTCTTTCAAAGCACCCAATGTGGCTATTACTTCCTCAAACATCCTACCTACCCAGAACCCAAGTCTATCAATGAATTTGATAATGAGCACATTTCTGTACCACTGATTTTTTTTTAATGTGGAAAAGGGAAGTATCTTGTGTAAGAATTCTGTGTTATTTTACCAGGAACCTTAACTAAGATGTCCAGTTCTATTCATTAAGTGATCAATCTGTAGGCACAGTTGTTGGGTAATTCCCAACTCAACCATTCCATCTTGTCCCAAAGGAAATCTGGCACGTACCTCCCTAAAATTTCATTGTACTTTATATCATCTACAAGCTTGATTTTCCATACCCTCCCTCAGATGAGAGTCAGAGGGAGATTCTTGGGCAGAGAACTGATAAGGTTGTAAAACTTACTGACGCTCATTTCTTGAACTCCTGGAGTAGAAAGAGGATCTGGAAGTACATAGTTGAAATGGACTACATTCAGTCTAGTTGAAGTGTTTTGACCACACTTGGGAAAGAAAAGCGTTCTTCCAGAAAGAAAGAAAGAGAGAGAGAGAGAGAGAGAGAAAGATAAAGAAAGAAAGAAAAGATACAAACTAAAAGCTCCTTTGATACACAGAGTTTATGAGACAAATCATAGGGTCAAAGGTTGTAAGATCATTTTTCTTGAACAACCAGCCCGACTCCTTTCCCTTCCTGGCTCTGTTAGGCGTCATCCCGGACTGTACAATGGGGAGAGGTGTTTCAGCATGTAAACAGGAAACAGCCATCAAGACTTCTGCTCTATCACAGTTCAGCAATAGCTGAGAAACACTAAATCACTGATTTATAAACATCCTGTGGCAACCCACATTGACCAACAACCAGATGGGACACCATTTGCTAAAATTCCTGGCCCTGACCAAAGCTGTGACCCCCAACTGGGAGAAAGGCAGTGGAGAGATTTACAAAGCAAAGTGCTGAGAGTGGTTTTTGTTAGGTGGGTGATGGGCTATGACAGAGAATTTAAGAGATTTATTTTTAGGAAGCTATCATACTGATATTATTTGATCTAGAGGCATTTAATAATAATTTTTTATTTTAGAGAAAAGAAATTAGAATTACCATAAATAAATATACTATTATTTTTCTGGAGAACTGTTGTAAAATATGAAGATAAATCATCCAGCTTCTAGAGCTCGTCTGATGTCACAGTGAGAGAGAGAGAGAGAGAGAGAGAGAGAGAGAGAAGCCATGGTAAGGGCAGCCACATTAAGTAAGGAAAGAAAGCAGGATCTTTTTAAATTTTATTTATTTATTTTTATTTTTTATTGTCAAGGTGGTATACAGAGGAGTCATAGTCACATAAGAAAGGTAATAAGTGGGCTGGGAAGGTGGCTCAGTGGTAGAGCACTTGCCTTGCATGCCTGAGACCCTGGGTTCGATTCCTCAGCACCACATAAAAGAAAAAAGCCGGAAGTGGCGCTGTGGCTCAGGTGGTAGAGCACTAGCCTTGAGCTGAAGAGCTGAGGGACAGTGCCCAGGCCCAGAGTTCAGGCCCCACAACCGGACCCCCTCCCAAAAAAGAAAGGTAATAAGTACATTTCTTGTTGAACTTGTTATCCCTTCCCTGATTTTTTTCTTCCTCTTTCCCTCCCCCAATACCTCCCACCAAGTTGTACACATCATTTCCAATGTATTGTTTTGTGAGTATCGCTGTTGCATTGGTTCCCCCTTGTCTTTTCTCTCACCATTCTGTTGTTCCCCTTCCCTTCCCTAATTCACATAAACATATATATATATATATATATATATATATATATATATA